TTTGAGAAACTTTCACCAGAAGCAGACCACCCCTAAAATGCAGAAAATGTCCCTGTCCAGAAAAGTAGCCATTTTAAAAACCATCCCTCGGCGAAATGGCTCAAATAGTGCCATTTTCAAACTCGATTGCATCCAAATTGCTCAGAATTGGAAGTCCTGAGTCCGGCCCAGAGGTTCAGTCTCATATTTCTTCAATTCCTCAGTTCCATGGCTCTCAGGACCCTCTAATATAGAATATTTTGAGTCTATAACTTTTATTAATGAGCTCGACGGCCATATTTCTGGCCTAAATACGAGGGTGCACCCAGAAGGGGGGGGTGGACTGGGATTTACTCCCAAAAGAGCTCATGATGGTCAACCCCTCCCCGGTTGCGCCACAGAGGGACGGCAATTTTGCAGTTTTATTAGAGTTAGTAGTTTTTAAAAGTAAGGCCTAGGTGTGTATTTTATCTTCGTTTTTCCGAAAAAAAACCCCAAAAAGTGGGGGAGGGGCTCATGTCCACGGTTGCACCATTAAGGGGAATGACCGTGACTTTTCCGCAGCGTCAAAAACTTCGGTATTTCTATTCTTTTAGAGCGAGACACGGGGGAGGTTTCAATCCCAGTTCGTTTAAGTATACTAGTAAAGAGGGGCCCAAGATATTTCACTGTATTCCGGGAATGCATGTAAGAGTTGCTAGTACGCTTTGATCACAATCCTAGGTGGATCGAGGAATATCCTTGCTAAGAAACGGATCAAAGGTTTTCGTGCGCAGTGCAGGGAACCGCGAGTTGTGTGATCTTTTATGTGAGAAACTAAGGGGAGCCATTTTGATTTGGAAACTGTAAAATTGAAAATAATTCGATCATTACGCATGTCAGCTGAGAATGGTTTCGTATGCACTTCAGATCCTTAAAAGTTGGAAAACAAATGGCTGCCTCGGCCTAAGTGGCGTAAGTAAATCTGTTTGGGGTATAGGAATAACTATGGTGAAAGGCAATCCAGTAGAATCCGTTCGACCGACTGCTCTCTTTATACCCAGCAAGAAATGAGACCGAGGGGTACCCCCCCAACATGTCCAATTCCTATACACATTCCAGACTATTGTTACTTAACACATGCCCCCCAAGATGTCTGAAAGGAATTCCCCAGGTTCCTGCGAGACAATGACCAACACAAGCAGGGGGGGTTCTCTCTGTCTCGTACCTTGCTGCATATGGCTCTCTTTTCCTAGAAAGGAAAAAAAATGCTTTTTTGTCACCTGATAAAAAGGAGGAATTCCTCCGATTTCCGAAATATTCAAACACATGTAGTCCGAATTCGTTGTGCAGGTGATGGTACCCATGGTATCCACGTACGTATGTCACATGTACATGTACCTCGGGCATTATTCTTCACAAAGCCGGCCCCCGTGAAGCCATATTAGGACGCCATGCACTCGCGTCGAACCCTGCTAAATAATTCAGCATAGTCCTGTGGATCGATATCAATAGCGGCTGGCGTACTCGCTGTGTGGCCTCAATGCATCGCGATGGCAACCAGGCAAGACACCGTCTCTCGCTGCTAATGCGATCTTCAGCACGCCACGGTACGGTCGCCCTGTCTGGCTCGCTCGGCTTTCCAATCCCGACGGCAAGACTGTCGGCTCTCATCAGACGCCCAACATTAATTTGTACTGGGAAGATAGTCCTAGTGACGTGCTTCGTGACCCTACTCTACCGTTGTCTCTCTGGTAAGATTTTTTGTTTTCATAAAGCTGAAACCTAAATTAGTGACGGAAAAAATCTACGTGCACAGAGAGAATTATGAACACGATGCTGAATGTAAATTAATGTGAATTGTTAATCAAACTCCTGGTGTAGCTTGATGTCTGTTTAATGGATTGACCGAATAAGGGGCTTGCAAGCCCAATGGGAGATCCAGGCATACTTGACATTGCAGCGATATCGCCATAGCTAGCGAGCTATCACTTTGACCCTGCACGTATGCACACACTCAGAGCACCACATTCATATCGCACAATGTGAACATGAATACGTTGCATGCATTTCGTGCGCTGATTGTGTCTCGGAAGTGATCCATCATAATTGCGGTTCTGCAAACAGAACCTGTTCGCTGTAGGCATAATAATTACGGCAGAAGTTGCTGCATGCACAGTTTATGCCTTAAAATTTGATTCGTTGATAGATTCCACAGAAGGATTTTAGTTCTTGCTTTTTATTGTGAATTAAAACTGCCCTTGGATGCAGATGATGCAAGTAAAGATGGCCATGGTCGGTAATTAATTCATGCAAAATGCAAATCGGTTTACTTGAATCACGAAATCGGGCTTTCCCCTCGATTGTTTTGACTATTTTTAGCGTGACTGTATATTTTGATCAATGTCCTAACTATTTCGATCATTATGTCATTAACGGATGAGGATGAAATCAAATAATATTTACATTTTGAGCTAAATTATGCATTGTTGTGTTTTGATCAAAATTCAATTCCTTTTAGACTTGGCTTTTTAAGGAAATTCATGTACAAAAGTCAAGGAATTAGTATTGCCAGTTTGGGGGTATTGCTGAATTGTTACTTCGTCTATATAGGCTTATACCAAAACCAGCTAATTCTACACATTTCCTTCGCTTTAACTTGAAAATAAGAACCTTAAGTTGGGAATAGTTCTCACAACTGCAGATATTTAACAAAGCTTATTGCATGTACCAAGTAAACCTTACTGCCTGACAAAGTCCGGAAATTTAATCACGAAGTTCAAACGTGTTTACTAGCAAGTTCGGTGACGATAAACACGTGCGGTCATCTTTCCAATCATGACTGTTTGGTTACCAAGCTGACTATTCACGCTGTTGTCATAAGCATCACTGTTGTACACTTTACAAGCTGAGTCCGGGTTCATAGGTGGGCCATCGTTTCTGTTATTTTTAAAGTGCAAACTACCCGTGCGGAAAAAGTGCACGTGAGACAAAAATGAGGACATGAATTGATTCATTTAAAAAATCTTATTCACGTTTTGTGATTAATAGTTCAGAGAAAATGATGTATCCCATAGTGACGACGCACAGTGTCTCGGTTTTGACTTTTCAAATACTGTTAACTGCCGATTGTACCAAGTTTATTTTCCACCCAGTCAATTGGAATAAATTACTATTCGAATATTCGACTTTCGATTCGATCGAATATCCGAATAGTCGTTTCTACCGACTGGCAAATTGTGGCAAATTTTGATGAACAAACCATATACAAAATCAGGTGCAATAATGCACACAGTTGTACATGTACATTATAATCACTATAATAGCTTCTCACTTCTATAGAATATCACCAGCCAAGATTTTGCAACACTGACGACCAATACTTCTCGCCCTGTTGAAAATGTCTATTCCTTTTATATTTTTAATGAATAATTTCCTTTTTAAATCGTACTCTGAGGCTTTTCATTTGAATCTACTTGAAACAAGCTTCCATAGTGTGATTTTCTCATTTAAAACAAAAGAATATTCTCCCTTTTAATGAATTTTGCATACGAATATTTAAATTCGGAAAATTCAGATATTCGGTACAGCCCTAGTTACTTTTACACAAATGATCAAATGAGCAATTTTTTTATTATGTATATCCTTTTTTAATTCGGCCCTTTTAAATTTCATGCCTTCCATTAAACTTTGTGTTGGTCCTTCCCATTTTTGTGTGTATGTTTACCTAGCAACGCGTTGTGGTGACACCCTGGATACTCAGTCGTAACCCCTGTGTCGTACAATTGAGTCAGGGTTTACTCAAAGAATTTAGGGTATGAATGGGTGAACAATTTACTGCTCGTTCAGTGCCAGGCTTAATACTTGCCAAATTGTTCAATACGTAAAGATCCGTCAGACTTGGCATCAGTGCAACCCTGTGGACTGTGTTGGTAGTGACCACGAGACTGCGCACTTTGCTTGTATAAACCACAGAGCTAGGAACAGCTCAAGCTCTATGTATAAACTCGCCACTTTTTTTTCAGCGAAAGTCTCAGCAGCTTTGACACAAAATGTGCACTGCAGAGCCGCGTAAACAGTTCATAGGACTCAACCATTTGAGACATTTGGGGTCTTGAATAGTGGAGGGGCGGATTACCGGAATAATAAACGGCCGAAGATTCCTATGACGTACTCTACATGTAGATTTATTCACTTAGCAACATAATAAACATGTTTGATGGAATACAAACACAATACCAGAACGAGTATTCATTAAAATATGCGATGCAAACAACTACAATAAATGTAATATTCAAACAAACAAAATAAATGCAACAGAACAATCTTTGGCAACATCATGAGTGAAATGATAACTTAGCTGGGGCTCAGAACTCAGCAATTATATAATGCACAATCTTGTGGCTGTTCGCGAAGAGATCTTTGACCGATATTTGCAGCTTCTCGAGAAAGAAGGCCTCTCAGTTCTGATGTACACACCGGCATGTGTTCCTGTTATTCTGTTTTAGAGAGCTGTTTTTTGATATTTGACCTCTGTTTTCTGCAGTGTCTTTTTGTACACGTGGTTATGTTTTAAAGTTTTGTTAATTTTTGTATGCAGTTTTTGCCTGTTTTGTATTCAGACTTTTTACTTTTTGATGTGCAATGCTTCGACTTTTTTTTGGGGGGGGATATGATATCTGAGTCTCTGTTTTAATTTTACCGTTCAAATTTCCTGTAATCCTAATGCGTCCTTTTTAACTGTAAACTTTCATTTTCTAAGGAATTCCTCATGACCGTTTTTTCATTATTATCATCTGTGGACAGATTGCTAATTATAGTCCAGATATTCTTTTGCTTCAAAGATTTTAGTTGCAGTTTAAACATCCACTTGGCGCCCTTTTATAGATTTGTCATGGATGATATGTAAACTATATGTATTTCAAAATTGAACGTGTTTTGTGTTATATTGTATTTCTGAATTTTGATTGTGTATGTTTAAAATGAACATCCAATAATGCTTACGCTATTCAGCTCTTTGCAGTGAGACGTTTTTGATAAATAAACCGTTTAGAAGTAAAAAGAATGCTGTCCATCAAGGTGATCTTCGGGGTGAAGAAACATGCACTTCACTATTATGAAAATAATGATAACAAACTGCCTTGTTTGTAACAAATATGTCTGTTGGATCCCGATGAGAGAGGTTTTACCTAAGTGGTGCAATGCTGTACCCTGAGAAAATAATGGAAGAAAATGCCATAATTATAGTCAAGATATAGAACTCGCTCTTGAAAATATCAAGTCATGTACAAAAGTTTATTTTTCAGTGCATCGTGAATGCAAGCGAGGATGCCGCATACGCAATTTCCTTGTTTAGTGGGGTTATCGAAACCGACAGGCTTGCACATAACCGTTATTCTGAACCTGAACCATAAAGCCTGCTTCCGTCCCTTGTTCGTCTAAAAACATTATTGCGCTCTGCAGTATTATATGCCTCGGGCAATACTTTATGTTAAGTTGTATTATCATGGCACGTAGAGGACGACGCAGTCTGCTAAAACGATTAAGACCTCTGCACTGTACGTATTTTGACAAGCTCACAGTCTTGTTGAAGAAGATCCTATGATTTCCCTTAATAGCACATTCAACGTAGCTAGTCACACAGTCCTGTTAATGTTATAATGTTCATTTTCATCATTAAGTGTGTGACCTGAAGGTCATTGTGGTGATTGTTTGCAATGTATTTTCAGAAACTTATTCCGAATGATTTAACTCTCAAATGCTGTGTGAAAGGTCCGATTTTTGCAGTGTGTTGATCATTATACATTCTGAAATGCTTAGTTTAAAAATGTAATATAGTGCTATCTTGTCGATGACCTAAGTTGACAGAACACGCTTTCTCGTAACATTTGTTTGAACTAACATTTTATTTGCAAACAGCTTGCAGTTTAAATTTGGTGAGTGGAGAGGGCGCTGCACATATCTCACACGTTTAAAGGAACGTTGCAATAGATTTTTTCTTAGAATAAGTGTTCGTTCGTGTTTAAACTCTTCTTAAATGTATGAAAACTGTTTTAAATATTTTTGTTGGAGTTAAGGAAACCGGAAGTGCACATTTAAGTCAAGGTGCACGTTTTCCTGTTTACACTAACACGAAATTTGCTCTCTAAGAAACATTTCTAAAAAATGGCTGCTCCGTGACTTATTGCCATATACTCATAGCAATACATTTGCCACAGAAAATGGCAATCTTCAATAGCAAGGTGAAAAAAATCAGCTTTTTTGGCACGAATTGATGCAACATTGAAATTAAGTGCCTCAGATTACATCACAGTTTTCTCCCGACTGTGCAAATTGAAATAAGCATAAAACAAAAATGGCCGCAAAATACAGATAAAACTAGCAAAACAAAAATTTTAAATAAGGTTGAAACACAAAAGTGCAATTTAAAAGATTTTATTAGACCATTTCTATTACATGGTCCCGTAATACGTCAGTAGAAAAGGTAATTAAAATGTTATTTTAAAAAGGCATGTTACTTTACTGTTAAGATAACGAGGTGGCGTACTTTATGCATCGTCACTGGGCCATTGTTGTGATGTTCTGTCATTTCGTTTTTTGTTCTCTTTGCATGTGTACGTGCAAATTTGTTTACAGTTGCATGAACGGAAACCCTTTAAAGTCTGGGAGAATCGGGCAGCGCCCTCAAGGTGTGCACGTGATCCCGTGATTCGGGACCGCCACTTCGGACAGGACAGAGGGCGCAGGTGGCGTGTGCTTGAAATTTGCCAATGAACCATGGGTAATGCGTGGAAGTAAACTTATACGTGACCATTACTAATATGTAAATAATCTCCTTGCATGTGTGTGTTTGTGTGACTTACTGCATTGATAGCTATATCTGATTACTGTAAACTCTTTACTTTCAAATTGTTTTCTGTTTGAATTCTGATGTTTTGGTGGCAACTTCTAACGCATAACAATAATCCTTTTCCGCATTCATTAATTTTTTTGTCCAGTAAGTTAAGTGACAAATATTATGCTACTCATTTAGAGTCTTTTGCTTTTGTTTTTGTGTTTTGGTTTTTGGAAAAATGTTTCCACATTTGATAGAACTTCTTGATGCTGGAAAGAATCGTGGATCAAAATGATTGACACTCATGGATCCAATCAGCCTTCATCATTATCGTAAATGAAGAAATGCACTAACGTTTCATGTTTTTTGTGGGCATTAACATGGCTAACAATTAACTGTACCTTGTGCTTTCAGTTTCTAACAAGCCTTACCTGGGAATAAACAAACTTTTCAAAAGATATGCTGACAAAAATAATTTAAACGAGTTCAAAATATGTAAAACGTCTACCTTCAAGATTTACTAGAATGTATCGACAACCTGCCATTTTTTATCTGCGCTGATGAATCATTAATCACAACTTAGAAATTTGAGCCTTAGAAATTTGATTTACAGCCAAGTTAAGTTCAAATCATATTTGGCTTGAAAGCGAACAAGGACGCAATGTTTTGACGTCAGGAATGTTCGCGCCGCGAATTTGCAAAAGTTTGCTTCGCTGTAAACGTGTCTGGACGTCAATTCTCAAATTCGGTTCGCTTCCGAGTCGTCTGAAATATAAACCGGTTTTTGGGGTTTCGTTAATATGGCATGCATGCTTATCGCTTGCAACAGATCATGAAGACTGTCGATAGCCTGAGATGCTGGTCATGAAGACTGTCGATAGCCTGAGATGCTGGTGTATACCCTGCAAACTATGAATTGTTGATCGGACCAAAGTGCACACTTCACAATAAAAGCAGGCGTGTGCCTCCATTGCTCATGTGTTCGTGGTCGTACACGGGGTTGTGAACTCTGTATTTATTTCCAGTTTTCACATTATTTCCTACCGTTTTCTGTTTTCCTCTTAATCTTACACAGGTGGCTGTAATTCTACTGAGACCACCCCAAACAACAGATCTTCCGGACAACCTCCAAAAGATTCTAATTTGCAGAGCGAGATGGCATCCTCCGAGTATGTAACACAGTCCATGGCGGCTAAAGACCCCAAGCATGATCCGTACTTTGACCTGATCATGGACGACGACTTGGCCAAGAATCAGTGGCCTAAGCAACTGACCAGTCACCAGGAGGACGGCAAGAAAGGTAAGGATGTCTCCCTCATGGGGCAAGTCATGACACCAGAGCTCTTCAACAAGCTCAAGGACGTCAAGACCAAGACAGCGGGATGGACCATCGCTCGGGCTATCAACACTGGTACTTGCTACCAATCTTCCTTTGTGGGATGCCATGCTGGAGATCCAGAGTCTTACGAAGTCTTCAAGGAGCTCTTCCATCCCGTCATCGAGAAGTACCACGTGGGATACAAGCTGGACGGCTCCATGAAGCACATCACTGACATGGATCCGAATAAGCTGACGGTAGCACTCAAGGATGACGCTAAGGCCAAGGTCGTTTCCAGCCGAATCCGCGTGGCCAGGAACCTCAACTTCTTCCCACTCAACCCTGGAGGCACGGTGGAGACTAGGCTTCAGATTGCAGACCTCATGTCTAAGGTCTTCGATTCTTTCACCGATGACCTGGCCGGTACTTTCCACCGTCACACCGATATGACACCAGAGGAGACCCAGGAACTTGTCGACGGTCACTTCCTCTTCCGTGGTAAAGATAAGATGCAAGCCGCGTCCGGCTACCACCGCTTCTGGCCAAAGGGTAGAGGCATCTTCCTCAACAAAAGCAAGACCTTCATCGTGTGGGTGAACGAAGGCGACCATCTCCGCATCATCTCCATGGAGCAAGGGGGTGATATCAAGAGTGTCTTCGCGCGTCTCTCGCGCGCCATCAATGCCATCGAGGAAGGCCTGAAGAAGATTACAGGCCGTAGCAGTGTCTTCGCTAGCGACCCGGCCCTTGGTGTCATTACTTGCTGTCCGTCCAACCTGGGCACGGCCATGCGTGGCAGCGTCCATATTCGCGTCCCTACCATTGCTTCAGCTCTTGGTCTTGCAGAGATCGACAAGATCGCCCGCACCATCAACTGCCAGGCCAGGGGCAGCAGCGGCGAGCATTCTGCCATTGTCGACAGAGTCGACATCTCCAACTGGAGGCGTCTTGGGTTCACGGAGTACTCTCTGGTTCAAGATCTTATCAGAGGAGCCAACCTTCTGTCGGCTCTGGAGGATAAGTTCGTTAGCAAGGAGGCAGATGCCTCCAAAATTGACCAGGTTCTTGCCCAACTTATGTCTGACGTCACCATCGCTGGTAATTAGGTAGAGGAGGTTCCATCCAAGTTCTTTTGCGAGAGATGGTAGAAGATAAATGTAGTTCAGTGGGAAGGATGCACCACATTTTAAAGGGACAGTTTCAGGCAATACCAGAGTTGATGTGAAAGTTATTGTTCTCTAATCGTGTGTTTCCATAATCCTTCATGTATGCGTTACTTGCTTCTTTGCAAATCTTCTCAGTAAAACTAACGTCAATCAGACATAATTTTGTACATGCACTATTTTGCTGTGAGATTTTCTAATAGGTATGGAAGAAGTTGACTGAAAAAATTAGGGACCAGATTTGGATCTCATCTGATGCAAACCTCATAACCGAAATTCTCGTCATGTTCCAACATGCAGCTCCATGCAAATCCTCCTAAAATGATTGGATCCACTGAAATTTGAAGGAATTAATTAAACGACAAGCGAGTCTTCAAACATTTCCAGTCTCAAGTATTATTGCATATTGTGTATGTATCATATCGCATATTAAGAAAACCTAAAACAAGCAGACAGGGCTATTTCCTTTGGTTACCTTACATACGAACTCCAAATTAATTTGATGCAATTGGCCTAGTTTTTCAGGCCTCAGAAAAATCTGCATTGGCCCAGATTTTTTATCTTTGAAATGTAGTACGTCTGTAGCAAACTGGGTTTTCAACAACGCTGATCTGTTATGATAACTTTGTTAAAGAAACTCGAGAGGTTTCAGTTAATGTTTGCTGTGGAAATTACAACCCTCTCCTTTGTGAAAATACAATGTAAACCTGTAGAACGAAAAATCAATCAAAATATTCAAAAAATCAATCAAAATTAATTGTCACGTGTAGTTAAAACTGCAGGTGCGTGTACGGCGCGGAGTTTACTAAGGTTTGAACTTTGAGAGAGGGGCTCGAGAGCAAGGTGATTTGCTTCTTTTTTATCATTTTTCAACCAGAAATGTTGTCATAAATCAAGCCTAAAACTGTTAATTAATAATAATATAAAGGATTGGGGTAGCACTGTATGTCGGTTATAGGCCAAATTGTATACACGTACTTGGGTTTTTTGCGGTGAACATTGAAGTGTGATTTCTTGTTAGTATAATCGAAATATTGAGGTAAAAATGTAATAGTCTCATACAGAAATTCGTAATGGACCTTTACCTTTGACCTCTATGAGTAATAGATAATGGTAAGACTCACCTTTGACCTCCACGATCAATACACATAGGTAGGCACACATTAAAATTTCGTCCAAAGGCACGTCTAAAAATTAACATACACGGGTTCCACGCCCCAAACTCCACTCTACAAAAATATGCGTAAGCTCCATATATCCTACTACCATACACAAACACTATCAGAGGCACTGAATTTAATTCCAGGGAGACTGAATCAGTAAGGCAAATAAGAATGATTACTTTGGAAAAACAGCTAACAATCTAGTCTTTCGAGGGATTGTTACTAATGTTACAGGTATGTTGTACAAATGTAAGATGTTAGAATTATTCCAAGAAAGTATTAAGATCTGCCATTCAGTGGAGACTTTCAATAAAACTTTGTATAATCATTAAGACCAGCATATCTGAAGTGTGGATGCTTTATGTCTGTATGCTCTAGCACTACTTGCACCTCAAAAAGTACAAAATTCCTTGCTAAAGAACTTGGCGTATTTACTTTTCGTTCGTAATTTGACGTTACCGTCCACAATCTGGGTCCAGGTTAGTGTAACCATCAACACATCTTAAGTCATGGCATAAATATTATACAACATCACCAGAAATATTAAAGATGTAAAGCAAATCCAATCTATCATCAATAAGAAATACACAGTGAAGACTGAAATGCCTCGTTTGGAACATTCCAGCGCTCATCCCAACTTTCTTATACTCGAGGGACAAAGCGGACTTTGAAAGGCTTGGGGTTTCTAGTGAAATCTAAAACTCCCTCAGTAGTGGGCGGAGCTTCACCCGGGGGTGTTTCCACCCGGAAGTGTTGTAGGAGAGAGACGAAGAAGCTGAAGAGTTCCATCTTACCCAGAGATTCTCCCATGCAACCTCTGCGCCCTGTGACAAAGAAACCCGCAGTTTATCAATACAAACAATTAGTAACCAGAACACGAACTCAGTATAAGTTGTTTCTGCCACGAGTTTTCCCAAGCCTACTTAATTTTAAAAAACACACCTTTCCCCAAATTTATTTAAGTTTTATGTAACTTACTAAATTCGCGAATGCATTTAATGAGTTGTCGGGGGTTGACAAGAGATGACGATTTAGAAGTACAGTGTATATTATTTTGAAACTCCAATGACTGACTCTTTCTTGAAGTAAAACCACCAAGAATAGGGAATTATTAATTTATGAAACAAAATTCATCATTCATGATGCGTTGCTTTATCAACTCAATATACAATGTTACCATTACAACACAGTATAGTGGTTTCTACACTGTTAGGATGACAGAATTGAAATTTCTTCTATTATTAGCTGTCAGCAATCTCACCGGCCGAGAAAGGAATGAAACCTTCATGACGGACCATTTCAGTGCCTTCAGCGTTCAGGAACCTTGCTGGGTTAAAGGTGTTTGGATCCGACCACACAGCTGGATCATGGTGTACTGACCTTCAGGATGGAAGAAAAAAAAAACGTGGATCCAGAAAAGTCAATCTTATGAAGGGACTAAAAACGATGGGAATTTTTATGTAACCTTTTATGGCTTTTCTGGAGGTGAGACAAGACCTTGGGGCCCTTTACACGCATTTGGGGGGAAGGGGAATCAAATCATTCCCCAAACGGCCTTTCTCTGATTACTTTTCAAAAACTAAATGTGCCCGGGGGGGGGCGTGCCCCCGTTGCCTCGCCCGCATCCGTCGTTGGGAAGGAATTAAAATAATTTTGTACGAGGCAAAAATATGAAACTTGTTATGAGATTGTAGAAAATGTGTTATGTTGGCTTGTAATTGGATTCAGTGTTAATTTTTTGGAGGTTTTTGTCGTTTTGACTAGTCACAAAAGGCGGCCCCTTTCCTCACTTCTGAACCAACCAACCAAACACATCATACACAAAAACCGTCATAACTGTTACCTCTACAGAAAGTCATAGTTTGTTAGAAGGTCACTCCACAATTTGGGTCAAAATCAAAACGAACAGCTCATAGAAACCACATTAACATATAATGCATACATTAAGTGAAAAAATCGACTGATTTCGTAAGATCGGATCACAGATTGGGTTGTAGCGATTTTGATGAGTTCGAGATTGATTTGCTTGTAGTTATGATTTTATTAACTTCAATCCTCCTAGCTTTGTGAAAAAAGTACAATTCGAGAATTCAAGAATTCTAGAGTTAAAACGTGTGTTTCTCCAAATACAGCGTTACGAATGTTTGTTCGTACATTTTCTGCTTACCAAATATTCACCCATAGTTCAGTTCCCTTCGGTATCTTGTAATCAAAGATGGTAGAGTCTGTGTATGCAGCCCTGACAACCATGTAGGAAAGGCTGGCGGCTCTATGGATCTCCATCAAGGTAGCCTGACTGTAAGGCAAGGAATTTCTGTCTTCCCATTTGACATTACGGTCTCCTATAACCTGTTATTAGAAAAAAGTTAGCTATAAGAAAGACATTATATTTTTTATGCATAATTCCACTTCTATGATTTTAAACAATGTTTTCTTACATTGAGATTGCAAACAAAATATTTTACCATAAATCTTTACAAGATACGAGGATGAAAAACACTGCCACATTACGCTACAAATTCTTGCTAAAGCAACCTACAGGCTTATGCACAACGTTGCATTGCAAATTATTTTTTTTATACCGAAGTTTTTAAAATCTTCGGAATTAACTGCTCACAGTTTTGATTTCTTGATGCACTTTTTCTTGGACGCCCGGGTTTAGACTCATATAAACAAGTGTCCACAGTAATGTGAAGGACACAGACTCGATGCCAGCACCGATCAAATCCACCAAGACGCAAGCAAGTTCGTCATGCGTAAACCTGGCCGGGTCTTCGTCAATCTTAGCCAAGTAGGCGTCGATGAAATCTCGTGCTTCCTCGCCTGCCACGCGGGATTTTGCGTGACTCTCAATCTGCTCCTTGACGAATTTCTCCAGCCCGCGTGCGGCTTTGTCCACGCTGTGGACAATGGACCAGCCGGAAAGATCGTAATTGGCCATCAGGGTCCGGGACCAGTCCAGCAAGCGTTGGAACTCGGCGTCGTCGTGGGCGAAACAGATGCCAAAGGTGATGGAAAAGAGAACATTAGTGGTGTGAGCACCGAGAAGGTCCCGGGGGTCGAGCGGTTGGCCCCCGTGTGCCTGGAGTATTAAAGAAACGCAGAAAGGAAGAAACAGCTCGAGTTATGGCCGTCTACCTTCCATCCTTCTCGTATTCCTTTCTTAGCCACTATTTGGATACAAATTCTTTTGCAACTGCCTCATTCTGCGATTTTACTCTCAAAATTTACATTTCCTGTCTCGTAATCTGTCTATGTCAATTCAACAGCACACTAAAATTTGCCTTCAAGATAACTCACCTGTAGTTTATCGATCAGATGTGTAACTTCCTTCGTGATGGCCCCTTCAAGGCTTACTTTACCAAAGCCGAAGCCACGCAGTGTAGTGTGGGCAAAACTTCGCTGGATTTTCCATTGATCATTACATGGAGCATCAAAATCCCTGAAAAACATTAAACTGGTCATGCATACTCTGACTGTAGCAACCTGTGTAATTTTAAACTTTAGGCTTTTAAATAATGAATAATAATCTCAGCTCTGGAAAAACAACAGCTAAACTACGCTTATTCAGAATAATAATTCCATCAAATTTTTTAATGATCATCTCACATCTTGCACCCGAATGAGGGATTGTTTAAACAGCACCTCTAAGGAAAACATGTTTTCTCTGATTTTATCTGTTCAAATAAATATGGAAGTATCCAAATCAAATGCAATGTAATTTGTTTTCAGAGCCAAACTATAACAAGTTTAAAAGGGCCTTTTTTCTGTTCATGCTATGATGCCTGCCTACATGAGAATTCTCGAATCTCCCTATATTTAATTTGAAAAAGCAGTTTACCAGAGTGGGTGATTGTTTAGCATTCCCCTTATCCGTTTCTATGACTCTGGTGATATGACGTCACAGGATGCCCTCCAGGGGTTTTTCAGCATCATCTCAACATGTCTGCATCTCTGCAGCGCTTAAAGAGGCATCTACTTAATACGAGGCAGCATTTCTTAAGCAAATTCTCTTTACTTTAGATGGGTTTCAAAAGTGATTGAAGCCGGGCTTCTTTTCAAACTACACGTAGCTCATAATTGCTAAAAGTGTTACTCTCTTTGACAACTGCCAAACATGGATGTGAAAAAAATTAATAAATTTCTTTAGGAGAGTACAATTTACTTGGGGTGGCCACAAAACCCCCTTGGTGTGAAAAATTTCAATTATCAATTAATTCCACCATCTACCAAAATAAACTCACCCAGCGCATCTATTTGGTATGCGCTACCTTCAATTATAACGATAACTACTACACTGTTACAAACAATAAGCCGTCTTTACTTTCACTGATGATTTAACATTACAGAGTTTTATCAGGTGTTGCTGATAATCACCATTCCATGAATTCTGGTTTCAATGGCGGACACTAATCTTAGTGTAAACGTTCTTATACGCAAAAATTTCTTTTCTTTATATTCACACATCTTGTTAACGGGAATTACAATTGAGGGACTCAACGATCTATTGCTTCTGGTGGTCGCCAGATAAGAAAAATCACAAAAACCTGTATTTAATTGTTTGGGAAAAGTGGAAATGTATGCCTGATCTATGCGATCCACCGCTTTCAGGCTATCGGTAGCCAAGCAATGACCAAGTAAATAAAAGGCTCGCTCTTCTACACTTCTCTACGACAGTGACTTTTTAAACTAAAGTTTTAACAAATTGGACATATGTCGTTGCTGCTAGCTATCGCAGTGACGCATTCCTGTACAGTCACCGCATGCCACACCCTGTTCACAATACCGCCTTTCCGCTGAACCTTGCAACATTACCATCACAATGATAAATTTGTTATATTCTTATTTGCTTCGAATCTCAACCGAATACAACTACACTGCTCACTGGGAAACCTCATAAATACCCTCTCCTGAAATAACAAATTACGGAGGGGTTAACAGTTTATAAGTCCTCTGGTCACTGTGTTCGTGTATAGCTAAGGCAAGCCTAATTAAAGGGGGTAATCGGGAATGTCTCGTGAAACCAGAATTGTGACAAGTCCCTAATTGTTGTGGCTCGAGTCATTGTAACGTAGTGACTCGAGTCGAGTCATAGGCAACAAAGTCGAGTCGCAAATTTGTATCGAGACACTTTGAGTCACCAATATTTAACACAAGATAAAACGAAGAGAGTCATTTTTTTTGGCAATGGGTTTCTAAATGACTGTGGTCACATTATATCCATGATGATAACACATGACATGAACATAATAAACCGGCTATGGAAGTCACTGCAAAATCTGTTTCGCAGAGAAGTTTTATTTTTAGAACTCGAGTCTTATTTACTTTCACTCGAGTCGGGTCTTCTGATGAAAGACTCGAGTCGGATCGAGTCATTTTACTTGCAGTGACTCTAGTCGAGTGTAGTAATTTACCTGCGGCGACTATAGAGTTGAGTCGAGTTGTCAAACTTGTAACTCGAGTCGAACTCGCCGACTTATGACTCGAGTCATTATAACTGCGCGAAACGTCGATGCTTGGAATCGTTTTCTACCGAACATCCCTTTCGTCCACATTCAACGTTTTATAAGATAAAGAACTGTGGTCGGCTCTGTCTCCGAACTTTGTAAACTGAAGAGCCATCAACATGACTGTGGATTTGTCACAGACATTGGAATATAAAGAGCAGTAAATCTGGTACCTAAATTGAACGGAAATATTAATAAAAACTTTCCGAAGTGATTCAGCTAAAGTAACGTAAAACTTTTTCCCTTTCAAACAGCTGGTCCCCCCCCCAATCAGTTTGACATTCCTATTCACCTTTGTACTCGGGATTGTAGCGATCAGCGGAAGGGGACCTGGGTTTATCACAGAAGTCAAGCCCTTTCTTTACCAGGACCTCGCGAACCGCTTCCCAGCCGGTTACAAACACCACCCAACGGCCCTCCATCTTGATGCTGAACACGCTGCCATACTGCCGGCACAAATCGTCCCACTTGGCCAGGAAAGCGTCGTTGTCGCCGAAGTTCACCATGCTACCGATCAGAGGCAGGGTCATTGGGCCGGGAGGGAAGCCCTCTTTCCCCGGCTTGGGCTTTGCCATGATCCGCTGACAGAAAAACACACCCAAGGCTATACAGGCTAGCGGTGTTAGTCCTGCTGAATTTCAAGTTGTGAGAATGCAACTGTAATTGCTGACACAGACTTTATTATTGGGTGTGCGCTGTTGTACGCTGTTTTATTCATAAACATAAAAAATCATAACTGAGCAGTGATCGTTTATTTAAAGGCCTACGCGCTTTTACACGCAGTGCTACTCATGTACAGCTAGGCTACATTGTGATTGAAATAGGGCTATAGGCAGATTCGTCGTTTATGGCCATGAACTTTACCCACAACGTTTCATGTCTGTTGTGCCACCATTACTGACTGTCAACTCACAGTAACCGCGATGCACCGTATTGCTTGGCTGAATGCACACTGTACACAGCGCACTGATGTAGGGCGCTCTTTAAAATCCACCAAAGAATCAAAACAAGCCCAGTCAACTGCATTTTTCATTTTTCAAGATGTACTTTGCAAGATGTTAATTTATATTACGGGTTTTGCCTTTACCCGTGGGTTTTGCCTTGCATTTTTCATCTTTAGAGGCTATCAGTCTGCAGCGTCCAAAACGCGCTTCCAGAGTTTTGGTTAGTCTATTGTCAGGATGTTGGCGAAGACTTGTAGATATAGATGCAAGAATCAAAGACAACTGATACATTTCAGTTAATCAATTAACAGGTGGTTAGGGTAGGCACACTCCCATTGGTCAACAGATTTTCACATCAAGTACAAGTTTTGATGTAATATATATTAACTGATATGATCACGAGAGAAAACTCGGCCTTGCCTTATCGTTGACATGGAAAACAGAAACCTATGCGACTACTTACGAGACACATATTTTGAGGAATAGAAAAGCTCTTTGAGAAAACGAAGATAAAATTTAGGACATTGAAAAAAAATAATATAAGAAAAATAATATAGAATCAAAGATAAGAGGGTGAATAGAATCTTGGACGCAAAGACATGCGCACTATGATACCGCTCGCCATGTTGATATAACAACAAAATCCTAATCAGCTATTAATGAGATGGTATACTTGTCTGACAAATAAGCACATGACAATTATCAAATGTCTTCTGATATTTGCAAGATAGCGTCATGTTGTAATCATTGTTATGTACATAATATTCCTAAGTTAGATTAACACACAACTCTCAGTAAAGCCCTTTTTGAACAGGCCTTTCAATAAAGATTGACGTCCCCGGTGCCACTAAAGGACAAAAAGGTGCGACGATTTGCCAAAGTGGTCCAAAGTTTGGTTTGTATCTCTGACGATACTCGAGCACGAACACTGACCTTTGACTAATGACACTTTTCTTTATTTGCTGGGAGGGAATGGGCCTAACACTTTATGCAATTAACTTGTTGTGTGGCCATCTTTTACCTGCCTACAAAATCAAAACCGTGAACAGGTAAGGCTTATAAGCAGATGCCAAAGATTGTTCTCGGGCCTGACTCCTTGTTGCAGTAAAAGACACGCGGCTATATAGTACGCTTTGATGCATGTTAGATGACTGCGTTTCGTTTTTAACCATGACAAGTTCAGATGGTCCTTTCCTAAAGAGACTTTCAGGTTGTATTCTACATGTGCTGAACAGTGTCCTTTGTAGCGTGCAAGCCCTGTTCTCAATGTGTCATATTCTTCCAGCATTTTCACCCACGCTGCTTCGCAAATTGAATGGAATTATCTATCTGCGTCATAAGCAAGTGTCTGCAAAACCGCTAAGAACAAAAAATAATTTGCCTGGCGAAACAGTTTCAAAGCTCCACTTTGCTTTGTGTATGACTTTTGCTTAGTCCATCTCCGACTTCTACAGAGCAGCTTGATGAAATTTTAGTCCAACATTTTAGCCCAGTTCTTTACCTCGTAAGAAAGAAAACAGTTCAGTACATAATATCCCTATATTTTTATTATGTCATTTAAGAGGCCTTTGACATGCGATGACAATTGGGAAAAGTTCAGAGCAGTTACATTTTCATAGGTTGTGAAATAAATGCAGTCACAGGTCTACAGCGGTTTGCAGTAAGGTCAAGATGTACTTCGGTTATGTATAAAATGCAACCACCGCATGTTCTCGAAAAACTATTTACATGATAAGCCAAATCACCTGTTTTGCGGGGATCAGGTTTACCTACATAAAACTTTCCTCCATTTTCCTTTACCAATCCGGATACGAAAATAACCAAAGCTATACGCGAATTTACAAGCTAGACGTAAATTGGATTTTAAAACGTGAAAGGTGGGATAAAGGAATGTGGAATTTGAATAATTTTTAGAACTCTTAATATTAATTGGTACAATTGTTATGCAGTCATGGACACGCCCACTTCGTTGCTGTTGATTTTCTGTTGCTTCTCGTTGCAAATTGCAGCTACAACTCAAACAGGTAAGCAAATCTTTTCATGAAATGTTTCATGAAAATAACATACTAAGAAATCTTTAGCAAGCCAAGGAAGCTCTTCAAGTCAGCGTTTCCAGACACTAAGGGCTTTGTTTATTATTACGTAATTTATCAGAACGACTACAAATGCATGGCCTTTTGCTGATTTCTATTTTAAAAGTCACCATTTAATAAAAAGGAGCAAATTCCTCAAGCAAGTTGGCCGTAAGCGGGCAAACATATAATTAGCTTGTACTGAATCTTGAATTTGAGTCTGGGCAAAGTGAATATTTTCCCTGAAATTGTCAGGAAAGCAGTAGGCGGTAGTGCCGTTTCTAAAGAGTCTGAGATTTCAATTGTTAAAAGAGAAACCATGCCCAGGCGCCTCCACTGGATATGTTGTTGCAATAGTGTGAAAATAGGCGCTGCAACAAACGCCGTAATTGCACCAGATCCTAATACTCACCGCCAATAACTAACAAGGCTTTAGGTCAGTAGTTGGAACCTGGGTGTAATATATTATCGTATTATGTAATATGTGCGTATTTCGCTTATAACGGAGGTTTATCTTAACCAATTGAGAAATTTTGCCTTGATTAAAACAAACTTCAAGGCCACAAATTTTTTGCCGGAAGTTGAATAACCTTTCAAATATTATTGTTTCAAATGGGGAAAAAATTGAGTGCTCATGACCGAATGTAATTGCTGCTGAAAATGTTATTTAATTAAAGTGCCTATTATAGTGCATCACCAGCATGCTTACTACTATGGCATTTTGTTGTAATAGCCTCGCTTCATGTTAACATGTTAGTCGAACTGGTTACACCAAAGGGGTTTTACACAATTGTCGCTCCATGCAGAAAATGACTACAGCTATGTGCTTCAGCACTACAAGCGTTTCTGGGATGACTTGGATGACGAAGACATTAAGAGAATAGGGGTCAAGATGCGAACTCCAGATTTTAGTAAGGATTTCTTCACCCAACCTCTGGATCACTTTGAAGTCCTGACCACAGAAACATTCCCCCAACCATTTTATGTGGTCGACCAGTACTGGAAGAAGCCGAACGGCCCTGTGTTCCTGTATATCGGCGGGGAATGGAACGTACGTGCGTCAGAATTTACCAATGGTAATGTCCACTCTTTCCTGAAAACTAACTTTTTTCCAGTTTCGAGATATTTTGATGCATTCTTGCCAAATGTAAATTCAGGTAATTCTTAAAAACGCTTGACAAAAAACGCAGGAGTAAATTTTGAGGTTTAAATAAATCCTGTCTGTGTTACCTTCACTGCTCCGTTAAAAAAGTCAAATTGGTAACAAAAAGTATGACGACTGACTTGGAATGTCCCGAAGACGAGGCAACAGTTTTGAGAATGGTTTCACATCTTCACAAAATCGTACCAATATTAAGGCATAGGAAAACAGTCTATTGATCCTCTTAGAATGTTTGTTGAATGACCAATTAGAGAACCCAGGTTTAGGCCAAGCTGAAATTTGCCATTATCATTCACAACACTTTTCCACCAATAGGGTAAATATTCTTTGAATATGAGATAACTCTTAGAGGCTGCTGTGAAACATTTTTTTTTGTCCGCTGACATCTCCAATCATTATTAGTTCAACCTCAAGTGCGTGCGTGTTGGTGCTAGAGTTTCATGGCACCTGTGGTATTTCGTTGGACCTCAAATTTCTTAACGTCGCCGGCATGTAGCCCTTGACAAAGTACCGATTGTTCTTATTGAGTAAAATCGGCACTGACCAAGCAGCTTCACGAAGATGGAAAAACAACGGCAGGCAGAAAAACACTGAACTGAATTATCACAAAAAAATTCACACTGTTTTGCTTCTACACGTGCACTCGATACTGATTGACTTGATTTGGGCGATGGTATATAACGAGACTACATCAACCCACGGGCGTTGCTAGACCATTTTGAATGGGGGGACAAGAATTTGTCCACGGACCGTCACGCAAAATGAGTGACATGTATCCCCGTTCCTTTCATGTTCATTCTCCGCTTTTTCGTTTTTTATTTGCCGAGAGACCATGATTTTGCCGACAAAACTAACCAACGGAGGTGTGTGACAACCCCTGACAACTGCCCCTCTAGCGACGCCCGTGCACCCAACCAGTAAATTATAACATTAAGGCCAAACACATAGTTCTATTGGTATTCAATTAAAAAAAATTGTTATCAATTTGTGTCGTCCATAGGCAACATGGTCGATTTGGCAGAGAAATATGGCGCCCTCATATTAGCAGTTGAGCATCGATTCTACAGGAACTTTGAGAACGCCGAAAGTATGTCCCTCGATCAGTTGAACTACCTATCCAGCCATCAAGCGTAAGTCAAGATTTTCAGTTTCACAAGACAGTGAAAAGGTCAAATTAGAGGGGTATGAGTCTATAGGAAACATTCTTGTAATGGAATATGTTTTATTTTACGTGTCTACATAGCCTTGCAGACCTTGCTGCCTTCCGTGAGTTTGCGACCAAGAAGTTTAATTTGACGGAGAGGAACTTATGGATTAGTTTCGGCTGTTCGTACTCAGGAATGCTGTCGGCCTGGCTCAGGCTTAAGGTATTTTAATCAATCCACACGTTTTGTTTAGGCAATTATTTTAAGCATTTTATAGACTCCTGCAGTAAAGTCTTGCCATTAACCTCTTCTATTCGTCTGTCATCTTTCATAAAAATCAGACGCGGCGCACGAAGTGTTTTAGGGCTAAGAAGACCATCGGTATCCACAGCCTCAACATTTAACCACAGTGTATTCGTTTATTAAGCGCAGATTCCATACGATATTATTGTGTCCAAATGCGCTGCACAACAGACATGCACTAAATTACAACGCAATTATGTTATGTATAAAGTTTGGCATAAGTTATTTTTTCGACCACGGTGGTTATACTTGACCTAACATAAGAGTTGTGAAGAATTGTTGAAGCAGGGAACCATACTCCAGCGTCACTGTTTAAACAAAAGAAAATGTTTCAGTTATCTGTGAGTAGTTAGATGTCATACTAGCGTCCATGACAACATCTAACAACAAATTCTCACCTTGAATTTTGCTGCAGTACCCTCATTTGATCCACGGGGCTGTGTCATCGTCCGGCCCGCTACGGGCAGTGGCGAACTTCAAAGAATACAACGAGATAGTCACGACAGCATTTGGAGACCCCGTGGCGAAAGGTTCTGAGCAGGTGCGTGTCCTCATTACCATAATTAATTTGAAGATAAAACTAATTAACTTATAAAGGGGAGTAGATGAGGGAGAGGACAGGATACCTCCCCCCCCCCGCTTTATTAGCATCTGATATACTCGATCCCAGGTGATGAACAAAGGCACGGATTTTGATGTTATATATTGGATCTTGTCAGTTGAGTAACACTGAGAACGGTGGACCAAAAGTACCTAAAGCGTCAGTACACCATTTTGATTGAAGCATGTAAGTTTACAAATCATTGATACGACGGACATTATAATTATGTTCTGAACAACGTCTTTCAGAATGTATGTAATTCGATGTTCTTCCAAACGGTTTTCGAATTATCACGCGCGGGCAACTTCACTGGTCTTCCCCGTCTTCCATTTTAACCGCTATGGATTCATGTCTGTGAGCAAAGTTGTAAGCAAGAACCTTTCGTTGTTTTAGTGTGTGTCTCGCATCAGGGCAGCATTCAAAACCTTTCGCAACAAGGTGGATAACGAACAATACACCGAGCTTCAGCAAGCGTTCAATTCCTGTCGCCCTCTGACGAACATCAACGACAGGAGGTTATTGGCAAGCACTCTTCAGAACCCATTCATGGCTGCCGTACAGTACAACTTACCAGGCTACTTCAATGTCGAAGCTGTCTGCAACATAATGACGAACGAGTCATATCCAGATGCTTTTGAGGCATTGAGAGCCATCTATTTCAAACCAGTAGGTGGATGTTCATACGATTATCTACGGTATCTTTTAGCCGTAGGTGTGCAATTCGGGGGGTTGTCACTTTCAAATTAGACAGGTTTCAACCTCGCAAACAAACCATGCAGGGTCATGCTGGAGTAAACCATCCCAAAACACCCAAAGTTTCGCAGGTGTACTATGAAGCTGTAGACTGCATCAAGAATTTAGTCCCTGTCATTGTCCATTTGTAACATGTAAGCCTACTTGTCTTCAACACAGCGCTCTCACCCCAAAGCACGGTTTGGGTATACATGTTGCTCTTTGTAATTTGGAACCTGATGCAGTGGTTCGAGGAATACGTCCCCCAAATAGGTTGTGTAGTATCATAGCTAATCCTTATTACATGACCGTAGAGCTGTGGTCGTAGCTCGATGATATGCCTGACCCGAACGAAGTATCTTTAAAGAGCTGCCAGAGTTTTCTCTCAAGATTATCTAGTGCTTTTAACTTAATAACGACTCTGTCTCATCCGCAAACTATGGCGCAGGGCGTTAACGCCATTGTGCCTCTAACATCGATAATTCCATGCACTGGGTAAAGAAAGACGGTTCAACTTGGGATTGTGATCTCTCTAGGAACTTGAACATTCTCTTTGCAGACCTACTGGGACCAATATCAATGTCAGGATTTTTCATACGACGGGTACACTAGCTACTATCGAAACACCTCCCGTGTGACGACTGGTAGACCGTGGCTGTATCAGACGTGCAGTCAGTATGGCTTCTGTACGTGACGTTTGTTTGTTTCCATATTTTAATCACACAGTTTGGGTTAGAACCTAAAATTGACTTTAACAACTGGGTGCTTATTTTACTGGTTGATGAAAAGAGACGCTATTCAGGAGTAACTTTGCAAGCCTAATGCCGTTACCTGGTTTGCACGGATCGGTTAGTTCAGCATCACAAAAATGACACAATTTTAGATGTTTCCCAACCTCGATTGGTGTGGAGATGAGTTATTTAAAGCACAAATTCCACCCAATCCGTTCCGGTTTACAATAATACTTTGGACACTCTTCGGTAATATTGCTTAAATTTGAAAGTGGGGAATAGAGTTAAAAAGTACACGGTATAAGGGAACAGAGATCTGTATGTCAGCTGTTTTTAAATAAGTGGGTACACTTTTACGATTGATTATTGAGTAGAAAACCCTGGAGTTAATTTTTCCAGGATAAAAAAGAATCAAAGCCGCTTTGCATTTCCCTTTTCAGACCAAACGTGTGACAGTGACACCAACTGCATGTTTACGGACCTTTATGACCTTAACATCTCGCTCCAGTTTTGTAAGGACGTCTTTGGAATCGACGGTCCTCAGGTGCTTGGCCACGTCGATTGGACCAACTCCTTCTATGGCTCAGATATGCCATGGGGCTCTAGGATAGTGTTTGCAAACGGTACATTGCAACTGTAATTGGTTATGATTATCGGGGGAGTCAGTAACTGAAAATAAATGTTTTTGGAAGGAAATTAAAAGAATCAATATAAACGTATTATGTTCTTCGTAGTAATAATATTTCTTGCTTAATACCCTGGTGATAATGTCAAATGTTAGTTTATTGTTCATGGTTATTAACGCAAATACCAACCAAATTATTTTGTCCATACCATTGGTTGAATAATATTGTTGTTGAATGGAATTTGAAAAAAAAATTCTGTTGTATTCTATTATGTTTAAATTATTTTTATTATACATTGATACTGTACTTTCATGTTTGCAAATTGCGATCGCTCAACGTGACCCTGAGAAAATCGCCTAGCCCCCCTTTCTTTTCTTGTTTACAGGCGACCTGGACCCCTGGCACGCGCTCGGTGTCAAAAATGATCTGAGCGATTCCATGAAGTCCATCATGATCAGAGGAGGTGCGCATTGCCAGGACATAGTGCCGGTCACGAGTTACGATTCAGATGCCCTCAAAGCTGGAAGAACTGTAAGTTATCTAAGAGACGACAACCCGGGAATGTGTGCCAACACATATTCCAGGTATTTGGAGGCATCTTCAGAAAATCTCTGCTTTTTAATGAAAAGTTTCCGCATTAAAAGCACGAAAGCGATGTAATCAATACTCTTGTAGTTTTGTTGACGTTACGTGAAAGATACACCCTAGGCCAATATTTTCATGGACAATGAATCGCACCAGAATTACTTACAAGTCAATGAAACTTTCTGTCGAATGCAGCTCATATCCAATTTGGCAACGAAAATTCATTTTAATCAACGAGTAGAAAAATTTGTACCTGCACCGGAAAATAACAGGTAATAAAGGAACAAAGGGGGACACCAAAAAGAACAACCGTGTAGCACTCTGGACCCATTAATTTGCGTGAGTCAAACTCATTCTTGGAACACGTACATATCAATACGCATGACAGAGGACGTGGGAAAAGATTTCCTGCTTCCTTGGAGCAAGGAAACAGAGCCTGCTTGTTTCGCGCGGATCCGGATTGCTATCAGTTGATGTTGGTTCATCGACGCCCGAGTAATGGATAGAGCGACCTAGCGTTGGGATCACTTATCGAAATCCATATCAGTGTGAAACCATGGAGCTATACAAATGGGCCCCAGGACGCTATACCTTGAGACGTGTCTTTCCAAAATGCTGCCGACTTCGTCTATTTTGCCCTAAACCGACCTCTTATGTCTTTCTCTGTCTCCTTCTCACAGGCCATCGAGAATGAAGTCAAAAAGTGGTTGGAGAATCCCGGGCTGTACCAAGACCCTGACTGCCCGTCTACTGGGGGCGTGGGGCACCCCTTCCATCTTACCCTGCTGGTGGTTGGACTTCTTGGCGGTTGCTTAAAGCACTAATTTTCACGATGTCGTGATAAGTTGTGATTGGAAGTTGGAGATTAGATTTGGTTGTCTACAATTTGCTTACTGTACCATTAAAAAATCTCCTTCGTTACTAATTTCCCCCTCCGTTTGAGTCTAAGGTTGGCTTTTAGTCTTAGTTTATAGAAGCTGGTTTTAATAGGCCTATTGCCCTAGAAATCGAATCAGCCTAGTACGATTTGGCAAACGGATTCCTCAATCTGTCTCCAGTGGATGTATATATCTGTATGAAACAAATATAGATGGCGACAAATCTTAAAACACGTTGAAGTGTTTGCTTAAGGCATTTACAGGTAGTCTGCAAAATCAAAATCACTGTACTGTCTTCAGGTGAGGTCAGTCATTGATTGTATTCACACACCAAATTTCCAGCGCTTCTAAAATTTTATTTGAGCTTTTGAAGTGATCATAAAATGAATATGTAATTGAATTCCCATGAATGAGTATTTTCTTGACAGTACTGACTAATAATCAGATGATAACCACTGTACAAAAATGTTATTGAATATAATTATTTTACTCCTCAACAGGTCTTGTAACGTTAACAAAAAAAGGAGAAGCAAAACCGCAAAAATGTTTACCGTCCATCTAAATCCATTATCAACTGTGAAATGTTTATCCATGAGGGAAATAAATTCCCTTGAAGGAAAATAATAATCGGTAAAATGAGGCATATACATATACTAACAATTTTATGTCTACATGTTTGTGTTATCTGTTCACTAAAAACACATACTGACTCGTGCATATAACTGACGTTCTTTTAACTATATAACTTGTAAAAATTGAGGTATACAGGTCTGCGGTTGACATGGGTGGACCTTTGTCTCTGTTTAACTGTTCCTAGTGAGCCTAGTTGCCATGAAAACACGACGCGAAGAATGTTGAGCTAGTCAGCTTCAACTCAAATTGCCAACTGTTGCATTTGGGCTGGAGGTTGTAGACACAGGCTCAATACTGCTACCATCCGTTGGGGTTTGGCCCTGAGGACGTTGGTTTCTCGTCAACGGGCACGTGACCCATCTGCAGGCGTCATCGCGGCCACCACAATGGCGGGAACACGTCATCAGCCGCACCACCTGAAACTGGTTCTCGTGATGCAACACGCAGCCATCACCAAAGAGCGCCCTCTTTACATCGCCAAAGCAGTATCTCCGCGGGTCGTTACGGCGGCCATGGCATTTGACGATCTTGGTGAAGGGCAGGGCGCCCCGTCCAAAGTGAAAGGGAAAAGTTAATGACTGGCAGTCAGTGGAAAAAATGGATAAGTACCTACACCATTCAATACCTGCACCAGCAACTGTCATTCTATTACCTTTCGACATAATTTTTATCATGAATGTTATCTTTAACTCTACAAACAACTGTTTTATTTTGGCAATGTCGGTATCAACAAATTGGTTTCATTGTTTCACACTGCTGATTTACAGATTTCATCGGCATGTATTTCAATCGTGTAATAAGCTTCACAAAGTACAGGTTTCGGGTCTGATGTGGAGAAAGTTCCTGAATGTTATTGTCCTGCATTGTGCCATCCAGTATCACATCAGCTATTCAAGTTCCCTCTCACTACTCAAATGGCTGTTAATCGTGAAATTAAATTTTGCCGAGGGAAACACGGCAAACTTTGAATTTATGCACGGTATAGTAAAGGCCAAGTTCATTCAGCTATATTTATCAACTACCGGTCAATTTCGTTTGGTGACCAGTGTACAGAATAAATGCTGGGTACCAGGCAATATCAACTGGCAGTTTTAATCTGCTCCGAGCGAAAAGAGGGCTTTTTTTTTACTCACCGCATAGGCGCGCCATAAGGCGCGCAAGTATATGGGTGTTTGACGTGGAGCACGCTGAGTACACGTAACTAATTTATTCCAGCATGTATGGAGTTTGCGTACATGCAGAATACATACAAGAACCCGCTTGTAACCACCTGTGTTTATTTCCGCCGATCAGGGGTGCACTTTAGCTCGGGGCGGATATATAGTTGCAGATAGGGTACCGCTTTTCTAGAGGTGGGGATTAGCCTTCATTGCCGGTCCTCGAACGTTTTTATTATTTGGACATATTTATATAACGGGTTTTACCCTTACGCAACGTATATATTACTAATAAACACTGTATGCTCAGTGCTTGAAAATATTTGGACATACTTTTTAAAAGCCTTTACGGGAACCAGTCTGCAAGTGGGAGCATTTAAGGTAAGTCTTGAAGGTTTGCATGGTGAAGAGGTATAATAGAAAGTAGGTTTGCGGTAGCACCATGGACGTATCTCTTTCGTGAGAACCACAAATACTCAGGCTCACGAAAGAGATACGTCCATGGTGCTACCGCAAACCTACTTTCTATTATGGGAGCATTTACATTTACGGGTTCAGGGTGCTTCAATCTGTTAGTGTTAATCATTGGATACCAGCGGGGGCGCCCTACTGAACGGAGAGCGGGATGGTAAAAGCAAAGTCCTGTGAAGCACTTACCTTGCAATCACAGCTTCTTGCATACATTCCCAGCAGACCTTGCTTTTGTTTTATTGTTAAGAGTGAGCGATGCTGGAACCAGGAGCAGCCCCACATGAAATTGAGATGGTTTTCCACAAAGACGTGTCGACCAGTTTCCAGCAAGCTGGAACAATGGCCATAATCATTTGGTACGTTAGCCAAGTGGACGAAACCTTTGTTAGGGGAACGAAAATGGAAGATTTGAAATTATGAAACGTATGGTGCCCTGGAGGGACATCACCAAACGTCAATATTGCCGTCAATATTCACGACCAAATTGATGACTCGCTCTCTGGTCGCGAATGTTGTCGTCAATATTTACAACCAAATTCACGACTCGTTGTATTTCCTGTCGCAGATATTGCCGCGATTTTTCTCCAGGAAGCTTAGCTGAAATGATGTGTGAACGCGCACGCGCAATGACCTACATTTTTTGGCTTGATCTCAAGTCGTTATTCGGCTGGGCAATTTTGGCACAACGCAGGGGGTACAACGTTAAAAACAATTGCTGTGTCTATAGCCCAGCAACTACCTGGCTTGCTGGGAAAAAAATTCGCGGCAATATTTGCCACTGCAGATACAACGAGTCGTGAATTTGGTCGCAAATATTGGCGTCAATATTGACGATTTGAAATGTCCCTCCAGGGCCACCATAGAAAAGTCCACTTCCAAGTGGATACTTATTTTGCCAAAACATAGGGAAACTTTCTTCAAAAGTTAATTATATTCTACTACAAGAAAATTCGAAATATAAATTACTGAATGGTCAATTAGCTGAAAGTACTTGTAAAATTAAAAAATGCTGTTCTACTGCTAAAAGAGGTGTGTGGTTAATTTACATAATTATATCCAAAACTGCATGAAGCACTCGTGAATGATTCGCATTGTTGGAAGTTCCGTAAGGTGTACCTGTGAAGATGTAAGACCGTCGTTTCACCACCTCCAAGTCCGTTTTAATTCGGCTGGTAACCAGGACCACAGTGTTACCTTCCTTAGCAAAGGCGTGCCCCTTGAACACACGTTTGACGTAGACCGAAAGGACGATGGTTTCGTTGGGAGGTGGGCGGAGCTCCAACAGTTCGTTGACACGATGGTAGTTTTCGAGTGACAAACTGGACGTCGTTTTGCTCAGCACTTTGCCAACCAGAACTGTTTGTCAGAGAGATAGACAAGAGATGGTGTTGAAAGCGACAAAGAAAATCAGAGCTAGAAAATGAAACGACGGACGACCCATTTTGAAAACATTATGGTCTGGTGGTATCAAACACATCAGCAAGTTTTTCGATACTTTATCGATGGTAGTTCTATAAACTGATGTTTGCCATTCGATATACATGTACATGCGTTTAACTCGTCGATCGTTGTTTGGAGCAGTTATGTCCTTCGTTCGCGAAAGGCCCAGTCCGTAAATCCATTTACATCTCGACAGTCTGCGACGACATTGTCTCGGCGCCTAAACTTTTTTCTCTGTAAAACGACCATTGATAACAGTGGTTCACGGTGACCATATCATGAGCATGAGTTTGTACAATAGACTTACAATAGTCCGAGTCGGGCAGTAGACTGCAACGAACGTGAACTTTAGCTTACTGTGTAAGCTTTTTGCACGTTTGTTAACAAGTGACTGCCCTGCGATGAGTAAACAAAACTAAAACTTAAACAAAACAACATAATTATTAAAAAAAATTCAGGGACGATGATTGACTAAAAGTTAACTCCTGTTCTCACGAATGTGTAAAATTAGCTTCAGGATGTCCTAAATTTATTCTGTAGGCCTACTTGCAGATTTAACATGATAAAACGTTCATACAATTCCACCTTAAATCTCCCGTATTCACCAAAATAGTCATCTAGTACAGAGGCGTAAATCTGTGCTGGAAATGGGGGGGGGGAATGGGCGATGGGTAAAGGTGGGACGGTCCTGCCATGAAAAATTGAAAATCTGGGAGGGGGGCTACACCTTGACACTGTAATAGGGGCGATATCTATGATAAATATGTACATCTGTAATGTGTATCAAATTCATGCAAAATCTTACGTCAGAGTTGCATATTTATGGATTTTCAAGAAATGTTTTCCCGTTTTAGCGAACTGAACATTTCAGTCGCTGGAAAATCCTAAACATTCATCACCATGCACCCTTATTTTTTTACTCATCACAATAAAGTGTGTGGGGGAAAGGATTCAGTAGCCCCCTACCACCACCTCAAAAGGGGGGGGGTGATACCCCCAACCCCCTCCAGGGATTTACGACCAGCTGGTCGTCTATCAAGTTCTTGTAGGTGGCACATGTCGTATAGCAAAACAGAAATGAAGGTAGCTGGAAATGACAGAGACTAAAAACCTATTTAAAAAGTAGGAAATGTATACGATGATAATCAGTTCATTGTATTTTTGCAGGTGCAAGTTTATCAGTTCGTTGTCAGAGAGAAATTTTAATGATTTATTTGAGTGAGGTCAAAGTAATGCTGTCAGATTTACCACGTGTGGTGGGCCCAGCTGTCACAGAGCTCATGCTTAACGCTTACACGCGGGTGGGGGTGGGGTTACCGGCAGCCAAGCGGGACGGAGAGCAAATTCACCGTTCTTGCACAAGACATCGGTAAATCATTTCAGGATGTGAATTAAGACAAGAAAACAAAATACTTGGCGATCATGCCAATAAACAAAAGGTGTTGAGATCTTAGTAACGAAAATAGTGTAGTGGGAGCTTTCCATTGTTGGCTGAGGTAAAAGCAACGGTTTGCCAGTTCCAGGGTGGACTCATGACGTCCTAAGATTAGGGGGCGGGGGCTAATGTGGAAGGGGGAACCAATGGCGTTTGACGTTACATGATACTGTATGTGACGTTGCACCACACTCATTGGCTCATTTGAGCCGTTTCGGCGTACCTGCCACACTAAGATCATGTCCATCATGCATCAATCGTATTCGTTTATGTCCTTAGCAGGTTGACCGAAAAACATGAACCACGGCCCCGCGGTCCCTGAATTACACCATGAGTTCAATGCATCCCGGGGGGGGGGGGGTATATATCTCCCACTTTTTGTGGTGGGGGATGGGCTATAGAATTATCCCCCTACTTTTTGTAATGAGCAAAAAAATTACAGCGGATTGTAAGGAATTTTTCGGACTTCTCAACGACTGAAAATATTTTCAACATTACTCAAAACAAATAAAAACAATTATGAATATGCCGTTCTGATGTAAGAATCTGCATGAATGTAATACACATAACGGATGTACATCTGTATCAGGAACAACGCCCCTACAAGTTCACATGGTGTCAGCCCCCCGCTTTTCAAATTGCCATGGCTGGGCAAGTCATCCCTGCCTCCAACAAATCTCCATCCCTATTCCCCCAATTTCCGGCACAAAATATACGCCACTGGTGAAAACAAAACAGCCCAAACAAAGACTAAAAAAACCAAAAGCCTTTTTTCGCGGACAGCTCCAAATTTCGAACGAAAGCCTAGTTTTGCATGTGCAATCTCTTGTCCGTTACAGTCTTTTCCCCCTCTATACATACAATAACGGTTTGTTTTTTTACATCAAGCGACACGGATAACCGACTTTTGTGACAGACGAAAGACCAACTACCAGAAAAATAATCCCTCATTCAGTTTCTTATATTCATTCTCACCCTGATGAATACCATTTTGTCCACCCTCACCCCAAGTATATAGAGTCATCTTACCAAAGTCTGCCTCACAGAAATGTTCTTGGGGGTGCTTCTGAACGAAGAAGAAGGACTCCTCAGAAATGTGAACAGTTGAAGCCAGCAGGAGCCAAAAGCTCAAGGCCAAGGCGAGCGAGAGGGTTTGGTGCAACATCCCGAGGCGTAGGTCTACCTTGTATTACCCACGCACTACTTTTTAGCCCACCAACCGGCGTTAAAGACCACTCTAACCCATTGGGTCCATTTCTCGACGAAATGTTGTGACCAATCAGAGAAGTTGCGGTAATATCTTCGACTGATAAGAATGCCGCTGAATTTGCATAAACATCAGACACATTATCTTCCAAGTCATTTCCTTTTGGAAAGGTGAAACCCTCTCCTTAACTTTCTCATTTAGTGAACAAAGACTTCGTAAGGTTAAAGTGAGCTGCGTGTTTTCAGTGTTTTGATGGGCTTCGTATGTTTTACTTATGTTCTCCTTTAAACATATATCCACACTATAAGGCTTGGCAGCTGTTGAACTTTGTCATTAGATCCCATGTTAAGATGATTTATGTTGTTTTCCCGAAAACAAACGTGCAGATTCTGTTGTATGTTGGCATTCCATACTTTTTTTTTACATTTTTTGTTTTTTGTTTTGCGGGATGGGTGGAATGAACCTTCTTAATTGTTCGGGAGTCAGACGTTAGTTAAAAGGGATATGCACGGTACATATTTTAATCCTTTCGTTTTTATTTGTGCCACTAAGTTGTCAAAGATGGGCTTATTTCTATTATTTATTTGAAAATTATGGAAATAAAGTTTAATCCAGATAGAGCAAGCCATGACATTGAACACTTTGCATCACCTATCCTTATATTCTTGCAATGAAGTAGCATCGCGTAATCAAATATTTTTATTTTTTCTACTGACCGACTCTCCCCGAGACCGCCATTAGAACCATGAACTCAATAAGAAACGCCCTGAAGACTTAATTTACCACATTATATTTTAAAAGTTTCTTTCCAAAGAATTTAAGTAGAATACATTTTAAACTGAGAAGCGCTTCACATAGTCATTGGCACTCAAGCAAGGTGTGTGCTGGGGCAAAAAATGGGACTTTTTATATAATACTTAACGGCTTTTATAACGGGTGGGGCTAATTTTGGAGCATTTATAAGCTATTAAAAGGGAGGGAAAAGACCATTCTTTTATTCCTTTTCCAAAAAGCAAATTTTGGTTCCTGTGGAGGGGGGGCATGGCTCCCAGTTGGCTCGATCACAGATCCGTCCGTTTTCAAGGAGTTATTAACTTGCAAGTTAAATGTACTTGGTACACAGGTTGTATACACTGTTTTCGAAACTTAACATGTAGCATCGGGGATTGGGGTGGTCATGGACTTTCAACTGTACCCCGTAGTTACGAGAGAGAACGTGACGAGCCGACCTACATGTAGGGTCTATCATCACACGCCTCAAGACAAAAGGCACATGGTGTACTATTTACGTATACGACACACATTTCTGCCTCTTTCTAGCCTCGCGTCGTGCGGTTGCCTCGCCTTGGAAGAGGCTAGAGAGAGGGCAGAAATGTGTGCCGTACGTAAATAGTAAATACTCCATAGAGGCGAGGTTCTACTCAAGATTTGCTTTGTTCGTAGATGTGATGCGTCGCCAAGCGAGAAAATTAAGGAAGCGCCACCAAGTGCCAAGGAAACAATACAAGCGCGTAAACACACTCCGCACGCTACGCAGCTCTTCTACATTTTGCCACAAGTCAACATGGACATGCGCAATCTGTCGCAATGAACGAGCTATCTCAGCGGGGTCACTGACTCGGTGCGCTTATTGTAGAGATTGACTTTGCAACAAATTCGAACATTGTACCCATATCTGACCTTTGTTTCACAGTGCTGGCCTGACTTGAGTCAATTTATGTGAAGGCTGGGATGAGTTATGAAATCAACCCCCTTCACACCGTGACACACACACTTTTTGTTAAGATGTTTGCAACGACCAAAATATTTTCAATAGCACCCAAAACAGAAGAACATTTTTTTTAAAAACAAATAAACAGAGCCAAGGGTATTTCAGGAATGTATTACATAATTAGAAATCTATTATCACCATGGAGTCACCTCATCTTCACATCCTTCCAGGGCTGTATCATGGATGGAGGAAGGATTTGTCCTCCATGGTTGCATGGTGTCAGCATCCCCCCAACCCGTTTTTAAAACTTTTATCCCCATAATTCCTACCACCTCCAGCAGCACAAATCCACGCTGCGGCCACCATGACAGTGCTTAGAGCGATGGTGGCCGGGGACTGGCGATGGCCACAGTTCACCTCTGATCGTGGGTCAGTCTTGTAAGTTCCAGGGCCAAGTGTCGAACTCATTGCGCTTGCGCATGCGCATGTACAGCATCGCTAAAGGATAATCGAAGCACCGATTGATGATCGACCGATCATATATGCATGCTACAGCTGATGCATGATTCATTTGATGGTCGAAGTCTAGTTTAGAAATTAGAGTAAGGAGGGGGAGCTGAGGTACGATCGTTTGAACTTGAAAATGAAATAATTTAATGCTTCATTTCCTCGAGAAGTTGGGGAGAACGCCTGCAAAGATCCTGGAATTACACTCTACAGATGGATTTCTGAAGGATTGAAAAGGTTTGGATATTATGGTGTCATGCATTAGAAGTATCCAATATTTCCTGAATACGTAGGGCCTAAACATGCTAAATCATGATTATTTCCTTGCTAAATTTGACTTCTCAGGACATGGTAATTGATATCACTTTCTGCTAACAGCCCCAGAACTGCGGGCTTCGCTATGTTCGTTGTCCACTGTAGAGCTAGAGCGCAGCTAACGACAACCCTGTTTTTATTCCTCCATATACCGGGAGGATAAACCACTGCAGGGGAAAATCAGCGATTGCCAACAAACATCCAAATCATGCTTATGTCTAAATTATTAAATGGTCTTCTTCAGATTTCTCAAACAGCGTTGAGTAACTGCTGTTTAATCCCGAAGTGTTAAAATCAGTCTGGATTCAGGAAACCAGCATTATCAAGTTTGACAGTGCATTGTAAGGAAAAGAGCTTGCCTTTGGACATCTGTGGCGTCATTGTAAACTACGAGTTTATCAATATCTAAAAACTAGGAAAATCAGTGTTGTGTATAATGAAGCCGTCACAGAGTCTATCTTCTTGTCTCCCTCGATAACCACTAGTAGGAATTAGAAAATGATCCATTTTAATGAGTAGTCATAGTTACTGTACTGTGTGCGTGTCAAATTTATTTCAGATCAATCAACCATTTGGTTTGCAAACTAACGTTAAGTAAAACAGCATAAGAAAATTCTGAAAGGTCACTGAAGTAGCAATACCATCCGCCTACTCAGCCAACAATGTTTAAAATTTTCAGAGATGGAAAGTTATGGGGTCAGTTCGTACGCACACCAAGCTATGCTCCAAGTAATGCAGTGCACTCAATTAAGGATTGACACCATATGGCTGTTGGTCCATTTCTTGCACAGATCAGCAAAGTGTGCATCAGTACCAGTGGCATAACAAAGACATTTGCTTGGGGGGGGTGTGCCAGAGTTGTTAACTGACTTGTTCTTGTAACTTTTATTTTAGGGGAAATACAGACGGCCAACGTATATCAATTATGTACCAATTTTGGATTCATTTTCTGACCGAAGCTCTATTTGCCGACTGGAATTAATTATTGGGAGGTGCCACACCTCCCACACCTCCCGGTAGCTACGCCCCTGAACAGAACATGCCTGAGACAAATATCAGTACATGTGTGTATCGCATGCTGCATGCAACCATGTTCAGTAGCATTTTTGAATGTTTACAAGGGCACCTGTTGATGTAATGTACAGTTTGTAGGAAATGGAACAGTACATTAAATTCCAACTGCATCTGTCAGCGACGTAGAGCACTCTGACTGTAAATTTCATATTCTTTTTTTGCTATTTTGTGAACTTTCTGTATGTACACTTCAGTGTTTGAGATGAAGTTACGCATATCTTTAGTTGGAAACCTGGGGGAAGAATTGGTCTTGTGTGCTGTGATGTTGTTTATTTGTTTACATATTGTGTGGTATAAAAAGATATGTGTGCATTCACAAGAGATGAGCGCTTTCGTAAACACATTCTCGAGACAGCTGCATTAAGAGTCCTTGTGTAGTTTATTGAATATAATCCCGGAACCACATACAAGTGTCAGTCGTTGAAATCAATTTTTTTTTTTGCATTATTGATTGGGCAGGACCGATTTTGTCGGCCCAAGTGTAGTCAAGTGCAGAATGCCCTCCCACCATTTTACGAATGTCGTTATTAGCAGTCTAGATGTCAAAACTTAGTCAAAAATAAATACAGTGTATTTACCTGTCCAGTGTTGCAGAAAAAGTATTTATTAATGAATACCATTGTGTCACAAATTGATGAGTAGAAAGAAATACCAACTTGGTATTTTGTTTCACATTCACACATTTGTGCATGAAAATGTAACTTAAAATCAAGTGCATACTGACACACGTATATGTGCATATACGTGTACAAGTTTGAAAAGTCACTCCTAACATAACTTGAAAGAACAATACATCCAGTTAAACTGAATGTTGCTGGGTTCGATATGGTAGGGACCTGTGACCTGTTTGAGGAAAAATCTTGTGACATTATGATGTTACTCGTCCCCTGAAGGCACTGTATGCGTACTTGGTTTATAGTGCAGTGTTATCAGGACTGTGGATTGTGTATGGACAGCGTGCCAAGAGAACTGTTCCCACATGATTAGTCTTGCAAATTTATCACTAAAAAGAGCTTAATAAGCACAACTGGTCCAGATCTAGTTTATTTTATGATTATTCTCTGAGGTACATGATTGGTCACGACGTACGTTTACATGTGTACAGTACCAACCACCATAACCAGTGTGATGCTATTTGTGTACACGTATACACATTTTTGTCAAGAACTATCCATCATGTGACTCTCCAGGTTTTATTTTTTATTTACTGCCAAAGTACAGGTAACTGCAATTCTTGCTATAAAACTCCTAGAATAAATATTCATTCAAAACCACCTTGGCTTGGTGAATTCCTAGGTTATAAATGAAAAAAAATGTGGAAGGACTTAACCACTGAATGTAAACAGAAATATTCCAACCTTCTAATTTGTGTTCTTGCCTGAAGAATAGGCCTATATAAATGTAAATCATTTTTGACAGTTATTATAAAAATGAAAAGGCAAATGTACTTTTTACTGCCAAGTTATTTTACAAGCAAAACAAATTTAAATACTTTTTTTACATCTGAGCTCTTGAAATGTTAAAATACCCTACCATCAAGAAATTGGCAAGAATGTGGAAATGTGTAAAGACAGGAATGGCTTGGAGATTTGCTGGTTGGGTTGCTCCTCAATGCATGAGCCTTCAGAAGATTGGAGTCGGACAGTTTTGGTGCATTGCTGAAAATGTTCTCATTTTACGATAGTGTCAATGTCCTGTGTGGATGAGGGTAACATAGCTTGGCCATGTATCGGTACATGTACCAGCCTTGTACATGTAGATTTGAGTCACTTGACTTGGACTCAAATTGGTCTTTTGACGTAAACATGACAGGCGTAGACATTTTAGGGAACATACCATGTCTGTGGTGGAGCTCACATGTACATTTTATATTTTTATTGGCAATTTTATGTACGCCAGAGTGTGGGGAGACTTCGAAGGTACATGTACATGTATTTCCGTGCACATCTGTGTACATAATTAAACGCTGACCGTCAAGTATTATTACCATAACCATATAGTATCATTGTCCTTTATTCCTGTGTGAAGCTGCATAATTAATTAACTGTTCCCATGGCAACCTGACAAGCCAAAATGGTCATCCGTTGTTCACATGTACAGAAGAGTACATATTTGTACAGTGTGCAAAGCGGGCGTGAACGTACAAATAGACTACCATACATGTACTGTAGGTGTACATGTAGACTTGAATGCTCAATGGAGGATTACCTGTGTCAGGTCTGATATGCATGACTTGAACTAAGCATAGTGCCTCAGACTTTACAATGTATGTTTTTGATCTTTGGAAATTTGGAAATTGTATGTACATGTAGGTCTAGATCTCTCTCAATGACATCACTTCCTACAGATTTTCGTAATGTACTCTGGCTGTGCTGTTTCTTAAAGACATTTGAATTGACATGTGCACGTGTACCGTATATGAAATTTGCACTCTGTATGTACATGCATGACTTGTACATGTACCTGATGGCGTTAAATACATGTACAGCTGTGCACAATTGTAGTTTTCCTACAAAGATGGTGTTCTGTAAGAGAGCTGTCCTATGTACAACAGGAGCTTCCAAAGGTATAGGTACATTTATTGAGATGTTTGTCGAGCGACTGGTATGTGATGGGCCCCAGTATTTCAGTTGGTCGGCAAACTCCATTTTGAATCATTTTCAGAAAGTGACATCTTTTTCTTTCGTTTTTGTTGATTTTGGATGTTTTGTCTTAGACTCAAAGCCACGATGAGGATGCACTTTCTCAAGTTTGTACGGAATGCTCTAGCCATCAGTGTATTGGTCACTGTCCTGATGCTCTATATGTACCTCTATCATGTTCATCGTGTTGACTCCAGTAACAGCAAGAAGAATGTTTTGAATGGGTAAGGTCAGCCGCTCGTATAACTTCTTTTAAGACGCCCTCATGTGATAGCTTTTCTATGATTTCTGGCATCAACGTGTGTCATACGTCGCCAGTCAGTAATTCCGACTTGACAGATAAGCCAACTGGACCCTCTGATGGTGATATGTACCGGTAGTTACTCGTAATAGAATACCGAAGTGAACACGTCACGCGCACAATTAGTGTGTAAAAGGCATTAGCGTGAGAACCAGCGCGTGAACCAACACGCGCGGGTACTCCATTCGTTTGCACTGCACTTTCTTGTTCACAGTGACGTCACACTTCGGTACTCAATTGCATATGAATGACATGATCTTGCATAATGAACCGGTATATAGAATTTCCACCAATCAAAGAAGTCAGACTTGTAGACTCATTCATTATAATAGAGGTATGAACAATGTAACTTTTTCTGGCAATTTAATGGGCTGCTACCTGTTTTGGTAGATGAACTGATTCACTGTGAACAAACAGCTGGCAGATTCGTCACGTTGGGATTTCTGAACTCACGGTAACAAAATTCCACAGAAGGGGGGAGGGAGATTGGAAGCCCAAGAGGAGGGGCTGCCTAACCCACCATACCCACCCTCCAACCATACCCATTAACCCCCCACCATACCCACCCTCCAACCATACCCATTAACCCCCCACCATACC